GATTGCAGCAGCAGCAGAGAGAAGGGCAAACTCAGGCTTGCCACCGCCGTGATGTTTCAGAGGCCCACTTTTGACGCTAAGAGATTTGCATGTGGATGCCCAAAGATGCAAAGACGCTGCGTTTTCATTGCCCCAGATCATTTTGAATAGGCCAAGATTTCCCCATGCATTTTTCATTTTGTGGAAGTGATCCATTGCGTCCAGCCCTGAATGGTGCAGACCCATCCACTGTGTCATGACCGCACGCTTGTGGGGTTTCTAAGTGTGTGTGTGTGTGTGTGTGTGTGTGTGTGTGGTGTGAGCCTGCCCACTGCGGGCACCATTGCAGATGGGGGGGTGCGGGCCCCGTGGAAACAACAACGAAAGCACCAAGAAGGCTGCAGTTAATGGTAATACGCGTGGCGCAGGGTAAAATTGAAATGACCCGGCAGACAGGAGCAGAGAGAGGAGAGATGCGGGCTGGGCCTTGAAGGCAGCCACAGCCTCCCTGGAGAAGGCAGCGTGTGAGGGAAAGGCGGGAGGCCTGGGAAAGGTGCGGAGAGCTGAGAACACACACTGTGGGATGAAGAGCGGTGATGAGAGTGGCATCAGTGGATGGCAGGGATGGGGGAGGTTTCGGCTGTCTTTGGAAGCCAGGGAGAGGGCAGCTTAGGGACACTTATTTTGTGTGTCATGAACCTGAGGCTCCACAAATAAGGAGCATCTTTCTCAAAAGCTGGCCTCAGACAGATAACTCAGTAAACAAGCATGGATGTGTTGGGGGAGAATGCAAAATTTGCATAATCTGAGGAATCAACACGCACACTTGAAGAGACTCGGGTAGTGGTGTAGCACTTGGTTGACATCTGCTTGCCCTCCTGCAGCATGGGGCACAGCCATGGGACGGTTTGCCTGTGCCCTGTGCGGTAGGAGAGGAAACACCCTGCTTGGACCCCTGTATGGAGCATCTTCCTGGCCTCAGGTCCCACTCTGGGAACTGAGCCAACCAAGTGGAGCCTGGTGATTAAGGATCACATTTATACTGGCCCATGCCAAGGCACCCTGGTCCTTCTTCATTGCTAGCACTAACATCCAGCGATAGGACGTTTGTGCTGTCCTTTGAACGTTAGTTTATGGTCATTCTCTCAACAGCCATAGAAACACTGCTGGCTGCCTGTTTTATAGGTGAGAAGATGGCATGTGGCAGGTTCTGTGAATGTTCATTGAGCTCTTTCAAGAAACTCTGTGTTAGGAAGGGGTCCTGGCTGCAGGTAGGAGCTCCAGGAGCAGCACTGGTGACCTGCCAGCCTCATGGAAGACGTGCTGACCTCCTTAATTCAGTTCTTTCTCATCGATTGGTACAGTGCCAGGCAATATTTCATGACGCATTCAGCAGCGTATTCCTTGTGAAGAATTTAAAAGAAGCAAAACGGGATTTAGATGGGTGATTTAGTCTTGCACATCTCTCTCTCTGTCTCTCTTTAGGTTATTTACAATGCTGCCTCTATTGTATTTACTACTTAAATACAATAATGATCTTAGGGAGCAGCAGCAGCTGTTTTTCTTTAGCAGAGTATTTTAAGTAATAAGGTATCCCTTCATGTCTTGAAACCTCATGAAGCCCCATCTAGATAGCAGCAACTTTCTGGACTCATTAGTCATTAATGAACTCATTAAGAGTGGTTTCCAGTGACTGACGCCCTCCCAGCTGGCAGCCACAGTCTCCTCTTGCACTCTGTTGAGATGACACTGACTCCACAGGTTTGACTTGGGATGTGGACTGGGGAGGAGTTCAATTACATGGAGTTTTACAAATGCCTTCAGCTGGAGTGGAAAACTGTGAGCACATTTATCCAACTTTGTCTGCTTAGGAAGCTAAGGAGTCAAGCTTTCCTGAAAACCTTCTATTTATCCAATGCTAGTAAGATTTTTAAAAAGAGACCCTGCTAGCACCATGCTGTTACTAAAACAGTATTGGGTGGCCAAAGTCCATCAGCTACCGTGTCCTGCTGAAAGTCATCCTCTCTTTTTTTTTTTAAATTTTTTCGCTCCTGTTTTCATGCATTATTTTCTCTCTTGGCATTGCCTGGATTTGTTCTCCTCTTCTCCCTTCAGGGAACAGAATTTGGCCTAAATAAATGATAGCCCAGAAGATGGTGTAAACAGATGGGTAAACGTGAGATTGCTCTTCCTCCCGCGGTCGGTCATGGTCATGTGTAGCGGTGAGTGGTTTCCCGCAGGAGAGGCAGTGGCTTGGGTGGCAGCTATTTAATGTTTGTTTTAATAAGAAAGCCCATTCCTTCCCTAGTTATGCAGCTCAAAATGGAACAGAAACCCCCAAAAGCCTTTCAGTCCACTAATGCATTGAAACTGTTGGATCAAAATGGGCTTCTCTGTCAAAGCACTGCCCACAGAATGGAATTTGGTGCATTTCATACCCCAGTGAACTTAAATTATATGGAGCTGATATTTAATATGAGTGCCAGTACCAGTGGAATCTATATACTTAATATGCATTCCCTAACTTTTAGAATTAAGTAGTTGATCTATGGAACACAAAGGGATCATCCTTCTCTCAGAACAGTTTAAGACCAAGCAGTTTAACAGGCACTGCAACAAACAGCTGTTTCCAGCTCTCTCTTTTCCTCCCTGTCTCCCTTCTTCACTCTTTTCCTGCTTCTCTCGTTTTCCTATTTTTCTACCTCTCATCTTCAAAAACCAAAATGTACGTGTAAGGAAGAATATGCTATTTTAGAGAAAGTTTTTAGAAAATCACTTGAGATATTTTTCTTTGGTGGCAACTGAACTTTTGGGTAGATGCTCAAGAAAGTTCTTATAATTGGGTTTAATTTTTGATTTTTTATGTAGTGAGAAGGGGGATGATTTCCCTTGAAAGTGGAAGTCACTCTGCTTAAATTACGAAAGTGTTACTTATGTTTTTTGCATCATGCTGAAGATACCAGGTTTTCTGGACAGTGTCAATTTTAAATGTATAGCTGAGGTTAATTTCACCATTGCACTTTTGCAAGAAGAGATATGAGATAGAAAATAAATACTTTGCTCCATGCTTTGCCTTAGTTTTTGATTCCTAATATATGGTCAGTTTCCTTTTAGCCATGCTAGTATTTGAAAGGCCATTGTGGAAATGATTGCATTTTTTGAGGTGATGCCCTGCAAGAAAGATGAGTACCCCATGCCTTTTCATTCCCTTCAAGAGCCAGAAGGAGAAGGAGGGCACTGAGTGAAAAGCTGCCTTGATTCCAGAGATAAAACTGAGGTACTGAGAGCCTCAGAGTTTCTGAAGCTGCAAGATTTCAGTGTTTGCTCTTGAATGTTTTTCTCCTGGACCCCAGGATGGGTTTGCTCCTCACTCTGTTCATCTTAGTGAACCATCAAAGGGGTGATTATTTTAGAAGGCTCAGAGCTGTGTATACTTTCTGCTTTGAATTGGGTTTTATTGGTTTGATCATTTATTAAGTGCTAGGTGCTGTCTGTGCAGTTATAAAGATACAACCCTTCCTGTCTCTGTCTTTACTGAGCTCAGAGTACATTTAGAGAAGCCAGATGTGTACCACCAGAACAGAAAGTCACTATACAAGGGGTGTGTGTGTGTGTGTGTGTGTGTGTGTGTGTGGTGCCACTCAATGCTAGGTATGCAGAGGCCCTGGACAAGGGCAGGGTGGGACCAAAACTGCAGCCTCCTCAAAGACTGGCATCCCAAGACTGACAGCTTGGAGAGCTACTTTTTTTCTGTCATTTTGAGACGTTCTCCCTACGCAGTTCAGGCTGGCCTTGAACTCACTATGTAGCCCAGGCTGGTCTCCAACTCACAACCATCCTCCTGCCTGTGCCTCAGCCTCCCAAGTGCTGGGATTATGGGCATGTGCCACCATGCCTGGCTATTGCAGAGCTAATTTTTGACTAACCTGGTACTTGATTTTATTTTTCTCTCTGTCTTTTTTTTTCTTTTTCTATTCCTGAGTATATAAGCCAGGGCTTTGTGCATGGTAGATAGGGTCTCTAGCACTGAACTACAATTACAGCCTTTTGAAACACTTGTAAAGCTACTGTTATTTTTTTCCTAACAAATTCAGCCCCTAAGTCTTGTTCTTTCTATGTGGTAAACAAATATATTAACCTGGTGGGGAAAGTCAAAACTTGGGCCGTATGCTTCCTTGATAGACAGGAGAACTGAGCTGCCCAAGGCTGGCTGTCTGCTCCTCCCTGGCTCGGGTTGAAACAGTCTGATCAGTTAACTGAAGCCAGGCAGAATAGGCAGTGGTTCAGCTTCCCTTCCCCTGTAACGATGGACTAGAATGCCTGCCCTCCTGGCACTGCCCGCAAGGCCAGGGAAAAACTGGACTTCTGTGGACTTTAAGACTAGCTCTTCTGACACACTCTGGATAGGGGCACAGGGAAACGGCTAAGGCACTGGTGTTGACTGGACCATGTGGGAGGTACCCACAGAGAAAATCCAGTAGAGGTGCAGAACATGTTCCCCCAAACAATCTAAAGTGACCTTCATACGCCCTCCAGGGTGTAAAAACATCACTCTATTCCTTCAGCCCTCAACTTGCTCTGCTTTCCAGAGCCTGTCTGACACCCGCAGGAACCCCGCGGTTATAATTCACTCTGCCTTCAGGAGCATTTACCAGTGAGGCCAGAAAATTGTTGCTATGGGTTGTGTTTTGTGGAAGTTAAAATGCTGGAGAAAGAATCTGATTGCTTGATAGCTAGCTCTCTCTCTCTCTCTCTCTCTCTCTCTCTCTCTCTCTCTCTCTCTGATTCCCTCCCTCCCTTCCCCCCCCCCCCTCTGCTCTCCACCCCTTCACTCCCTCCGCTGGACTCCGTGTTTTGCCCCCACGCAGGGCCGGAGGAGAGCCTTACAGGTTGTCAATGAAACAGGGAATTATTTCCTTTGATGGCTTAGATAATAGTAGGAGCCAAAGCAATGAGTGAGGTCGGCGGAGACCAATGCAGTCCTGCCCGGGGCCGAGGAGCCAATCGCAGGAGCAGAGGGCGGGGCGTCGGCGCCAGCAGATAATTGCTAAGTGCATCGCTAGCACAGTTGGTCCGAGCTGCTGAAAGGTCTGGTCGCAGAGACGCGAACGGGTAATCCTCAGCGTGCTCCATCAGGACAGCATCTTCCCACCTCGGCAGGGCGTCGAGCCTGGGGATCACCGCCCCCCCCCACCCCCACCTGCTCTTCGGAAAAGGTACCTCTCCTCACAGCCCCCGGGGGTGCTGCTGGCGCTTGGCCCTTCTCAGTGGCTGCAGGTTAGCAGAGGTGGAGGTTGCAGAAAGAAAAGTTTAGGGGAGGGAATGTGGCAGAGGTGGGAATTCACAGCCTTTTGTTGGGAAGAAAACAAGCCAACAATTTGGAAAACTTCTCCACTTGCCGGTAACTGGGTTTGTTTACTACTCTTAATTAGCTGTGCTCAGGTCTGTCAAATTTGGTCTGGTCTTCCGCATGTTGGGGTGTAGGCTCAGATGTGCTGGCGGAAGGAGAGAGGACCTCAGGGTGCCCAGCACGTTTCCTAGACCCCAGGATGATGCAGTGACCCGTCCCTGGGACGCTGGCTCCAGTCAGTGTGACTGGTTGGTCAGGTTTGGTGCCATAGGGTCTGCCCCTCTCTACTACCTTGGTATGTGCCTTCCCCAAAGTACTCTGACCTTCAACTTGATTTCTTTCTCTAAACTTCTGTCTCCCTCATACCCTTTGTCCACTCTGTTTTTGTTCATTTTGTTTGGTGGAAGAAGAAATTTCTTGGGGCATGGGGGCCTCTCCTATTTGACCTGGTCAGCATCTGGGTGCCCTGCAATTTGTGGAGAAACCAATGCAAGCTTTCAGAGGAAGAGAAATCACTTCATTGCTTAGCTCCCTCAAACTCTGCAAGGCTTTCCAGGTTTGGTGTGTCCTGAAAAAAACCGGGATGGAGCTGAATCCTTGCCCATGCATGGCTCACACCTGTGCTGGAGTCTCATGGAGCCCTGTGTGTCCCAGGCCCTCTGGGAGGTGGAGGCATGCGTGGGACACGTTAGCGGTGGGGAGCTGGCTCTGTCAAGGTGCTCAGGTTGCGCAGGTGTGCAGGTGCTTTTGTGGCAGAAAGATGGAGCTGAAGTCACCATTCATGCTGCCTCTGTTGACTGCACTTCTAGCAGAAAAGCTCATGGTGGCAGGCAGCTGGTGCAGCAGAGCAGTATCCCTGAGCATTGTCCTCTGGGGGATCAAGAGTGTATGACACCCACTTTGGGAGTGGGTGATGGGACATGGTGCCCGGGGAAATGCCTCTCTTCCCCAGAGAGTTTCTGCCCCAGGCGGTGTTAGTTAGGGGGACCTTTAGGAGGCTGCATCCTGTGGGGGAGAGGGTGGTGACTTGGCCTTGAACTTCCTTCCCACTTTCATGCAGCAGCTCCTGTTTTCATGCTGCACCAACACTCTGCAAGGTGTGTGACCGGCTGTGCCCTCTAGATACTTTGAAGCTGCTGGTCCCCATCTGGTCTCACAGGTCTCTGAAGCTTAGGGCTGGGTGAGATGCAGATAAATTTCCTCACCTCCTTGAATTTGGGGTGTCCTGGCCATTGTGAATGTTCTGGGAAGGACTCCTTTGCAACCCTTGTCTCCTGGGGTGCCCTTCCTAAGGTGCAGGTGGCAGTCTGGATTCTCTGGCTTCTTCACTTTTTAATTCTTATTTCTTTTTACCACCACACACAACAGGTTCTCCTCCACCTCCTTAAGGCAGCTATTTTGGGTGGGAACTGTTATTATGGAAGCTCTACTCACAGTGGTTAAAAAGGAAGGTACCTGACTCTTGTTTGGCTGCTGTTGGTCAGGATACAGTCAGCCTTCTCCAGCGCACGCTGCCTGACAGGTGACAGACAGACCAGCAGCCCTGCACATTGTGATCTCTCTGTTTGGCGCTGGGAATAGGAATTGAACTTTTCATGGCTGTTGGGGAGTTTGGTGCAGGACTTTGTCCACGGTGGTCTTTCTACAGTGTGTGGTCCTTGGAAACCCCAGGAGGGCAGAACCTGGAGCTGGGGACCCTGAAAGCAGGCCCTTTGGTTTTCATGAAGACAGCAATACATTAGAAAGTTCTCTAGAGTTTGACAGGACCAGGAACCAGAAGAAGCGCTGGGGGTCCCTTAATTTAGTGCTAATCTCCTGGCTTTCTGTTTGGATAGAGAACATTAAAAGTAAGGCATTTAAAACAGCTTCTGAATGGTGACTCATGCACAGAGGGAAAGGCTGGTGGGGGGAGGGAGCCCAGGGAGCTTTGAGAAGTACAAGTGGGACACACTGGAGTGCTTGGCTTCTCCCTCTGCCTCCTCCTCATTCTCCTTCCCTGTATTTCCCCATTTGGAACAGAGATCCTTAAAATAAGAATTTAAGCTAAAAAAAGGGGGGGGGGAGGGATATAGCACCCAAAGCAGAATGCAAAGTGTCCTCTTCACAGCTTCACCCTGCATGGGGAAGGGCGTGAAGCTTGGCGCCTGTGCTTGTGACCCAGCTCGGAGAGTCATTCCTGGTGTTCAGCTGATGAACTCCTTGTGAAGCCGGTTGCCTGTTTGTATGCGAAGGGAATAACGGATGCTCAGGAAATTGAATTTGTTGCTTGTCACTTTGTCAGATATGATGGCTTTAGCTAGGACCCTGGATAAGCGCTGGCCAGAGGTCTGGCCTTTTCTCCTCCTCCCCACTGGCCAGCCGGGATCCCAGGCGTTTGCCGCTGTGCCCAGGAGGACTGCAGCTCTCTGCTCTTCCCTGCCCAGGGTGAGTGAGCTGGCCACTGACAGCCCATCCTGGCTCTCCTGACCCCCATCTCCATCACTCTCGCAGTCACCCCTTTTCATCATAAGCACATCAGTGAGTGATCTCTTTGCCAACTCGCTTTGATCTTGTCATTTTGTGGCGATTTCGCTGTTAAAGAAAACTGACCCCTGAAATAGGATTGAAAACATATTAAAATTTTTCTCAGAATTGCCTTTCATCTTCTATTTTTAATTCTAATTTTGTGATTTTGTGGAAATCCAATAAGTACGCTCACTGGGTTTGGTGTGTTGGGGAACCGGGTCAGTGTCTTCTTTTCCCAGCTGGGTGTGTGACTCTGCCAGCTGGCTGTCCTGGGAGGGTGGTGTGGAGCCTCACCCCGGGGAGGAACATCCCCCAAAGTTGAGATGGGACGCAGAACGCTCCTGTGTGTGCAGAGTGGGGAGAAGGCTGTTGTGAAACCCAGATTATGAATATACATATTCACCGCTCTATTCTTGTCCTCTTCCATTCTTCATTTAGGAAAATTTCATAGACAAGATTATGAGCAAATAGTTAATGTGACTCACCCCTCTCATACTCCTCCCTTCTCCCCCGGGAGCGATTTCACCTTGAAGCAGGTGACTGAATAATACTCAACTACTACTCAATCTGATAGGCAGGTGTCCATCTCTTGTCTCTTTCCATGCTTGTCCTTACTGTCATTGTAGAGCATCCTGGAGTTGAGACTTACTGTGCTGGGCCCTGCTCACTTCCCTCTGGAAAGAGTTATGCAGGATACCTTAGGAATGCCGGCATGCTCACCTTCACAAGAGCCTGCCCAGTGGGAGAAGTGAGGTAATCCTCCCTCCAAGTTCAGCTCTGCTACAGACCTTGCAGGAGCACCTGGGGTGCAGCTGACTAGATGGGCTTGCTAGTCGATGGGCCTGAGCACGGGTGTTTTCTGTGCTGGGGACCCCCACCGGCTGAGGCCCACATCCCCTGCCATCAGCTGGCAGCCAGGACTGACCTTGTAAGCACAAGCAGGCAGTGCTGTCTGTCTGTCTGTCATTCCAGCTTTGTCCTTTGTTTCCTTCTTACCTTGAATCTACTGAGGGTTGGAAAAGGCCAAATATGAAATCTACTTTCTGATATTAAGATATGAATGTTAAAACTGATAATACTATTGCCATTTGCAGAGGTATTTGGGTTTCTGTTTTACTTTATCTCATCCTTTGTTTATTTTTTGTGGTGCTGGGGTTGGAACCCGGAGATGCCTGACGCTAGCAAGCAGGTATCACAGAGCCTCCCTCTCAGCCTAGTGTTTGAGTTCTTAGTGGAAATCACAGATGTGTGGGGTGGAAATTCAGACCTCTGCTGGTGGACACAGGAAGATGGAATTTGTGTCAGGACAGTGCTAGGAAACTGTCCATTTGCTTCTCAGGTCGGGCTGGTTCTCCTCTGCACATGCTGAGGACAGTCGCAGGCTGTTCAGGTGCTGGGGCAGTACTGAGGGTGGGGGGCTTGAGCCAAGCCTCTCAGACTTGACCTGGAGCTTCCTAATATTTGACCTGCTCTTTCTGACTTTCCGTTTCCTCCTGTGGAAAGTGTGGGGCCTAGACTGTGTTCTTTTCAGTCCTGTTTTGCTCCGGCCTCTCAATCTGGCCACAGAGTCCTCCACCCGGTCATAGATGCCACAGATCCAGAAGGACATGGAGCTCTCAGAGCGAGCCACGGTGACCAGTGGTGCTTTGGGAGACAGAAGCCTCGAGGGCAGGTTAGAAGGAATGGCAGTGCTATGCCAGGAGAAAAGCAAGCTGAGGGTGATGTCATAACCGATTTGGGTTTAGGGGAGGATGTTATATGGAGGATGGCGACCAGCTGTTCTCCATCTCCAGTAAGGACTGAACGAGAGAAAATAGACAGAAATTGCAGCAGATGGACTCAGATTAGGTATGAGGAAGAATTTTCCATCACCAAGAGTTTGTAAAAGGGAAGATTGTGGCGCTCCATGGTGTTGATCTTTAAGCATGAGTGAGCTGGAGGTCTGAAGGCTGGAGGAGGAGCCGAGGACTGTGCAGAGGTAAAGGGAGGGGTGTGGAGCCTCAGCATCTGCGCCCCATCCTGAAAAGGCTCATTTTTCTGTTCTCCAAAGCCTCGCCCTCTCCCTGGGGCTATGGAAGGGGCTGGGGTCTGTGTGGGGAATGAGGAAGGAATGCGACAACCGCACTGTCCCCAAGGCTTGCAGGCCTGCTTCTCCCTTTGTTTTCGCCTTGCTGGGCAGGTCCTGTCTATGCTGGGAATCTCCCACTGTCTAGTCTTTTCTTTCTTTATGTGACCAACGAGGTGGCAGAGGGCAGAGGCCTTGGCTTGGCCACATGGTTGCAAATGGCAGAACTGGGACCAGAGTTGTGATTCTTCTTCTCCGAGTCCATCACTAGCTCTCTCAGCTCCCTCTTCTGGTTTTCAAATGGAGGGACCATTTGCTTTTCTTGCTCCTAGTTTATCTCTAACCAAAAGGCAAGGT